GCAATGTGCCTAGTGATGGAGAACGAGGACTCTGGGGCCAGTCAGACTGGGGCAGGGGGCGGGGGGCATCCTGTCTCTGTATCATTCACTATGTAACTTCCTGTTAGGAGCCACGATTTCTTCACTTATGCAATGAGGATGGGAATACAGGTTCAGAGAGCCGTGTGAGGCTCCACACAACTCTTAGAGTACCTCTCAAGCTTCCTTATGCAATGGTTATTAGGGGGAGCCTCAGGTGCTCTTCTGAGGGGGCCCCTTCTTCCTTCACAATTTAAATAACTGTATTTGGGACATCTGGGTGGTTCAGTGGGTCAAGCATCTACCTTCGGCTCAGGTCTTGATCTCACGGTCCTGGGATCAAGTTCCGCATCGGGCTCCCTGCTCATCAGGGAGCTTGCTTCTCCCTCTGCCTCTGCCTGCCCCTCCCCCCGCTCATGCTCACTCTCACTCTTTCTCTGACAAATAAATAAAATCTTTAAGAAAAACTAAAAAATGAAGAATTATATTCTATGAACATGCTGACATAAAGATAAATATATTACTGTTCTGTATGGAAACATTTCTTCAACTGAAAAGTTCCATTTCTCCTGTTTTAAAAGAAATTCAAACATTTCTGTGGGCCCCTAAGTCTCCTGTGGGCCCTAGGTAATGTACCTAACAGTGCGTAATGGGTAAGTCAGTGGTGGGTGAGAGATTTATTTGTGGAAATTCTTTTCTGTCCTGTTTGAATACTATTAACTGCTTTCTGGAAGTTGCTGGACCATCTGGCACTCAGGCTATACACTTCTAGATTCCCGCAGCCCGGCTTCCCAGCCACTGGAAAGGTCCGAGTGTGGAGCTGCTCATTTCCCTTGTCCTGCCCCTCGTCTTCAATTTAAACCCAGGTCTTCCCTCCTCTGACTGAGTCTCATTTCCTAGGACTATTCGTGGCTTATAAAATGACATTGAATTCTCTGATGAACCATTTCTCACTGAGATATTAGTGACAAACTGTGTTCCTCCTCTACTCCTTCTAGAATATTTGCCTTTTGTTACAGAACCTTTAGAGATTCTCTACCATAATTCACAGCCATATACGATGGAGAAACTAGTCCAGCAAAGGATACACTTGAAAGTCAAGGTTAAACTTGGAGAATCTTTGATTGTCTTGGCCAGTTAGCTTGATGTCTAATGTGTCTGTGCATCTGATGGCTCTTGATGACATAACTTTGATTAGAAAGTTCTATGAGGCTGGACACAGACTGTCCCCAGAATTCTCTTGCTAAAGTGTCGTGCCTGATGGAGTCCCAGTGGAATCCCCTTTAGCCGACGTCACTGAAGGAGGACTTCTGCCCCCCATCTGAAGTCACCCCTCCCTCCAACTATGCTGGTGGTAATCCCACACATATACCTAAGAAACAAGTCTTATTCCCTCTGTGCCTGTTATTTTCTAGGTATGGGCAGGAAAATGTTCTAAGAGATAACACTTTATAAAGGATACCGTTTACCGCACAGCACAGGCTCTGTAGTTCAAATGCTTGGTTGGATTTCTGGCTTTATTGCTTTTTTTTTCTTCTTAGAGAGAGAGGGAGAGAATACGCAAGTGGCGGGGCAGGTGGGAGAGGGAGAGAGAGAATCTAAAGCAGACTTCCTGCCAGCGCAGGGCTCGATCCCAGGACCCTGAGATCATGACCTAAGCCAAAACCAGGAATTGGATGCCCCTGGCTTTACTGCTTATTATTTGCATGACCTTGAAGTCTCAGTCTCCAAGCCTTTATTCTCTGTTTTGTAAACTGGAGAGGGGAGGCGGCTGGGTAGAATTAACATCAACCTCACGGAGGTGTGGGGAGAATTCTTCGTTATTCTGAGACTTAAATAAGACTACCCACGCAGAGACCTTATCAGGATGCCTTGCCTAGCACGCAGACCCTCAACGAATGACTGCTATTATTATTACTATTATTATTGTTGTTGTTGTTGCTGCCGCCACCACTAATTCTGTTACAGCCCCTCCAGTCCTGGTGGCTTAGAGAACGTGCCAGTGCTCCTTCCCAGACTCTGCAAGGCACTGCCCAGGGAGTGGCCTGAGCAATGGGAGAATCTGGCAGAACAGGTTCTTTCCAAGCAGTGGAAAGTAGATAAAAGGCAAGCACCCAAACCTGAAAAAAGAATGTATTCCTTTGTTTGTTCTTTACTGGTTGTGAAAAGACTTCCAAAATGTAACTTACACTGGAATAAAAACTGTGGCCACTCTTGAGCTAACATGGCTGAGCCCCTGTGGTCTTTGTTCTTTCTGACCCCCAAGGACAGCTGGGGGGCGTTTTGAGTTTCTGCTGAGTGTGGTGATGGCTGACAGTGTTCTGTGATGTTGTTGCCTATGTCAGTGCATAGCGAGCTCAGCAGTCAGCAAATGTGCGGAGACAGCAGTGATGGCAGAATGGGGAACTTCACACCCAGGGGCAAAGTATACCTATGCCTTGTTGCAGATCATGCATCACCCAACGTGACATTTCATGGGACTTTGTTAGGCCTCTTGGTTGAAAATAACAGAAGCCCAACTCATGCTAGCTCAAGCAAAAAAGGACATTTATTCTAAAGACTCCACAATGTATCAAGGAAAACAGGACAAGAGACAGGCTGATCTGGGATTAAAACCCAGCCCTGAAATTTTGCCAATACTTGTGTCTCTCTTCTCTCTGTTAGTCTTCTCTCTTTCTACAGACTCACTTCCTATGAGGCTTTGGTTGGATATTGAAACAACAGCTCACAAGTTTTGTAAATGATGATGCAGTCATCCAAAGAAAGCCTGATCTCACTTTCTCCACTTCCAGAATTCCTCTGGCAGGAACTGATTGGCCCAGTCTAGGTCAGGTTCCTTTCTCTGATTACCAGTCAGCAATGGGAACAGGTAAAAACAGGTTAGAAGAGGATGGGACATCCACCCTAACTATATACCACTTGTGAGTGAGCAAAACCACAGGTAAAGGAATAAGGGATTCTTTTTTTTTTTTTTTTTTTTAAGATTTTATATATTTATTTGAGAGAGCACAAGTAGGCAGAGCAGCAGGCGGAGGGAGAAGGAGAAGCAGGCTCTCCTCTGAAAAAGGAGCCTGATGAGGGGCTGGATCCCAGGACCCAGGGATCATGACCTGAGCCGAAAGCAGCTGCTTAACCAACTGAGCACCCCTAGATAAGAGATTCTTGAAATAGGGATTGAAGAACTACATGACAAGAAACATACTGTTCACATTTGACCCTGTAACTGCATCCTAGCCATTCCCAGACTCCTCTCACTTCACCAAAAATTCGGGATGTCTGTCTGCTCACTGCCCTTGGCCCCTTCACACAGGGGAGACCCTAGCCCTAAACAAGCCAATTGCAGCATACTCTAGTGGAGATGCCTCAGGCTGCAGAATTACACAGACCTTGAGTTAAAGCCCAGGTCTGCCGCTGACTAGCTGTGTGACACCGGACAAGTTACTTATCCTCTCTGAGCCTTGGTCTCCTTATCTATAAAATAATAGCTATCAAATAATACATATTGATTCAGGTTATTGTAAAGACTAAGAAAAATAAAGCAACCATATTTAAAATACTTGGCATATAATAGATGCTCAGTTATGTTAATTTCATTTACTATTTAGGTTACCTAGAAATCATCAGGAGGGTGGGGAGAAAAAGGAAAGTGGTAGCATTTTGTATCTGGGAAGTATCCTGCCTCAGGTATTTTACAATTATCCTGAGCAAACATTAAATAATTTAAGTGGGTCAGCTGTACTGGGAAAGCCACACTTGGATAGATACTGTCTCTCACTTTAGATGCAAACCAACAAGGATCTCAAGATCAATGGTGAATGTTTTGTTTCTCATTCATTTATCGATATGACTGTATGGTCCTCAGTTTCTTTCCCTATAATATCTAAAGAGCATGTCACACAATCTAATCACTGAGTTAGTGAATGAAGTGCTTGAACATTTGGTTGTGACTCTTGTAGTTTGGAGAGGCTCTCCTCTTTTAGAATGTGGTAAGCCATTTTTTTAATATAAACTAGAATTTATTGAGTTCTGATGATCGTAAGCACTGTGCTGAACTTCTACGTGCATTGTCTCATTTCTTCCTATGAATCAGTGCTATCACCCCCATTTTGCAGGTAAGGAAATTGAGGCTTGAATACATAGAGTGGCAAAGTCACGCAGCACTCAGCGATAGAACAGGAATCGAAGTGCAGCGTAGCAGGCTCCTGAGGCTGACTTCTTAACAATGCGCAATACGTCCTCTGCACCTTGGTTTTGGTTTTAAGTTTTCGAGACAGGCATCATAAGAAATGAATCCCCAGGAAAATCTGTGCTTAGAGGGTCTCATTAGATAAAGGATAACTTCACAGTGTTCGTGCACCCACACAATGTTTCAGCATGGGTGTGGATGCAAAGGTGAGGAATTACAGGACGAAAAAGAGTAGAATAACAGATACACTCTCTCCTTGGATATAACTCTTCTGATTACTTACTTAGAGAATAATAGTGATGAAGGGTTTCACGGATGAATCCTTGAAAAAGAGAAACTGGAACCTGTGTCCTACCTTTAGACTGTCCGGCGTTTCCCATCTTGGTCAAAATGCAGCTCATTCCAGTCGTCTGTCGCTGTGTGGGGCCGTGGGTGCATGCATGTGGAGTGTTTCGGCTGCTCCAGAAAACCACATTCGGTGACACATTGTAGCTATCATCAATGACTCGCGGTGGCATGTGAAGTATTTTCCATCCATGACCTATGTTCTGATCATGGGAACCAGTGGGATCTCTAATCACTCACTGACCTGCTCCTCCAGGAACAGTCTATTCTGTCGGGTGAGTTCCATTCCGTTCCAGACTGTGTTTCATTGGTACCTTTTTCTTTCTGAATTCATCCTGTGTGTAAATGGGAAAAACTAAAACAAAACATTGAAATAGCATGTCTCTTTTGACTAAAAGCGTATCTGGATAATATCTCATATTTTTCTTTCTTATCCTCCCTGTGTTTTCAGCTCCAGGGTTCCTTGAAAAGAAAACAGGTGGGTAACCTGTCTCCCGCCAACAGCAAGAGACCCAATGGCTTTGTGGACAACTCATTCCTTGATATCAAGAGAATCCGCGTCGGGGAGAACCTCTCTGCTGGACAAGGGGGCCTCCAAGTAAACAATGGACAAAATCCAATTATGTCAGGGACCTTGCCCATGAGCCAAGCATCCCTACGGAAGACTAACACCCTGCCACCCCATCCTCCCGGAAACGGTATCTTTAACATGGGCTTAAAGGAAGTGAAGAAGGAACCTGGGGAGACTCTGTCTTGCAGTAAGCACATGGATGGCCAGCTGACCCAGGAGGCTATGTTTTCCAATAGGTATGGAGAGGACCCTGTAGAGCAACTGATGGACCCAGAGCTGCAGGAGCTGTTCAATGAACTAACAAACATTTCAGTGCCTCCCATGAGTGACCTTGAGCTGGAAAACATGATCAACGCCACCATCAAGCAGGACGACCCATTTAACATTGACTTGGGTCAGCAGAGCCAGAGGAGCACTCCCAGGCCCTCCTTGCCCGTGGAGAAGACAGTGATCAAAAGTGAATACTCCCCAGGTCTAACCCAGGGCCCCTCAGGCTCTCCTCAGCTGAGGCCCCCATCTGCTGGCCCCGCCTTCTCCATGGCCAACTCCGCCCTCTCTGCTTCCTCCCCCGTCCCTTCTGTGCCACAGAGCCAGGCTCAGTCGCAGACGGCCTCCGGGGCAAGCCGGGCCCTGCCGAGCTGGCAGGAAGTGTCGCATGCCCAGCAGCTCAAACAGATCGCGGCCAACCGCCAGCAGCATGCCCGGATGCAACAACACCAGCCCACCGCCTGGTCGGCCTTGCCCTCTTCAGCTGGACCGTCGCCAGGTCCATTTGGGCAGGAGAAAATCCCCAGCCCTTCTTTCGGCCAGCAACCATTCAGCCCACAGGGCTCCCCCATGGCCGGGGTGGCGGGCAGTGGTAGCCAGCCGAAGGGGATGTCCAACTACATGTACAAGGCCAGCCCGTCTGCCCAGGGAGGGCACCTGGACGTGCTCATGCAGCAGAAGCCTCAGGATCTCAGTCGAAGTTTCATGAACACCCCGCACACGGCCATGGAACCCCGTCATGGCAACACTAAGCCTTTGTTCCATTTTAACTCAGATCAAGCAAGCCAGCAGATGCCTTCGGTTTTGCCTTCCCAGAATAAGCCTTCTCTCCTACACTACACCCAGCAGCAGCCTCAACAGCCGCAGCAGCCCCAGAGCTCCATTTCAGCTCAGCCGCCGCAGCAGCCGTCCCAGCCCACCCAGGCCCTGTCCAGCCAGCCGTTGCTAAGGTCCCCCTTGCCACTCCAGCAAAAGATCCTGCTTCAGAAAATGCAGAACCAGCCCATCACAGGCCTGGGGTTTCAAGTCTCCCAACAGCACCGACCGGTAAGACCATAATTTTGCTACCCCAAACGCAGAGGACCTGGAGACTGCTTAGCCTGGTCTTTATGCTTATGGTTGCAACGTTTGTGTTGGGGCGGAATCAAGAACACAAAGGCAGTAGTGGTCCTGTCGGATGCCCATGAAGGCCTTAGGAAGCCCCGCTTTCACCGGGCATCTGGAGGCAAGAGCTAGTATTTCCTTGTAGATCATTCCTCTTGTTGGGATCTGCAGCAGTCAAAGGCTCTTGCTTATTAAGAATGTTGCATTATAATTCATGACCTTTAGTGACATGTCCAGTTGGCAGTAAGATCTGGATACACCTGATGTCTATTCCTGCAGTCAGTAACTCAGTCAGTCATTAAGTCGACATGAGAGTCCTAAGTACCTACCATGTGCCAGATGTTGTGATTATGCTGAAAACTGACATAAATCCAGACATGATATTAAGAGTAATGACCCGTCTACATTCACACGAACCAACTGAAATGTCTGAATGCCCAACGCGTCGTAATAGATCCTGCCAGGACTCCATGCTGCTGCATTAAATAAGGCATGGCCCCTGTTTTCAGGCACAGTCAGGAGAGGAGAGAAACAGGCTTTAAAACTCTCATTTGAATGCTAAGTGGAAAGGCTAATCACATGAGATCACAGAGGTTCGGTGTCTTACCCTGCAAGGGGCTATCAGGGAAGTCTTTGGGAGAAAGTAATGCCTGCATTAAGTGTTGAAGGATGATATCGTCATCACTACAAACAGAAAAAAATATCTGTGGTTACCTTATATGCTGTGATTAATATAAAGCTGAAGTTTTATTCTGCCCTATACGTGAGTAGTACGAAGAGATAGCTTTGTGCTGTGAGAGCACGTGCTAGCGAGGAAATTCTGATCCCGCAAGGAAACTCAGATCCCCCAAGGAATTCGAGGGCGGAAACTCTTCCTGGAAGGAAGAAAGTCTGAATGTTGCTTTGTGCATGTAATTTGACGGGTCTCCATTAGTGGCCAAGCACAAAGACAACACATTACACGTCAAAACAATATGTCAGGATATTATGACGGCACTGAGCCTAATTTCAATCACATTCCTAGAGTAGTTTTCACGGCTACTGCCCAGAAAAGAATGCCACAAGCACCACAGACCGTGGCCAAGCTAACCTTTTCCCTAGATGTGTGCCAGGGGAAAAACGGCTCTCAACCAGCATTCAGGAGCTCCACACCAAGCAAAGTTTTGCGCTCTTACCCATTTAAGTAGTGTGGGGTTTTAAAAAAAAAAAGTGTATTTTTTTTTAAACTGTAGTTGATGAAGAATGGACTTAAATAGAGTCATGTGCATATTTTACAAAGTTCCTTTTTAACAGGTAATTTGGGGATTGTTAATAAACAAATGCTATTGTGGAACTCATTCCTAATGGCTGGGTAGCCATTTTGGTTTGGATGAATCTAGGTTCAAATTTTTACTCTGACATTCACTAGCTGTGGGACCTCAAGCAAGTCACTGGACCTCACGAAGCATGTGTTTTCTCACCTGTAAATGGGGGTGATAATAATATATCCTAGGATGGTTTTTGTTTTTGTTTTTGTTTTTAGAATAAAATTAAGGAGCACTTGGGTGGCTCAGGTGGTTAAGCATTGGACTCTTGATTTTAGCTCAGGTCATGATCTCAGGGTTGTGGAATTGGGCCCCGTGTCAGGCTCTGTGCTCATCAGAGAACCTGCTTGAGATTCTCTCTCCCTGCGTCTGTGCCTTCCCCCTCAACATGTGCACCCACGCTCTCTCTCCCCCTCTCTCTCTACAATAAATAAATAAATCCCTTAAAAATGAGATTGTTTTGCACCCAGAGTTTAGAACAAAGTTGACAGTTATTATGATTATCATGGAAAGATCCATGTATGATATCAGAATATTTTTAACAAGTATTACTCTTATGTAGGTGATGCATTGGAATAAGTCTCAAATTCTTTTCTTTTTTTCTTTTTTTTTTTTTTTTGCTGTTAATATCACATATCTGTTTTATTTTTAAAAATTTAATTGTTTTTTTTCAGTGTTCCAAAATTCATTGTTTATGCACTACACCCAGTGCTCCATGTAATACATGCCCTCCATAATTTCCACCATGAGGCTCACCCAACCCTCACCCTCCTCCCCTCCAAAACCCTCAGTTTATTTCTCAGAGTCCACAGTCTCTCATGGTTTGTCTCCCCCTCCAGTTTCCCCCAAATCACTTCTCTCTATCTCCCAATGTCCTCCCTGTTATTCCTTATGCTCCGCAAGTAAGTGAAACCATGTGATAATTGACTCTCTCTGCTTGACTTATTTCACTCAGCATAATCTCCTCCAGTCCCGTCCATGTCGATACAAAACTTGGGTATTCATCCTTTCTGATGGAGGCATAATATTCCATTGCATATATGGACTATATCTTTTTTATCCATTAGTCTGTTGAAGGGCATCTTGGTTCTTTTCCACAGTTTGGTGACTGTGGCCATTGCTGCTAGGAATGTTGGGGTGCAGGTGACCCTTCTTTTCAGTACACCTGTATCTTTGGGGTAAATACCCAGTAGTGCAATTGCAGGGTCATAGGGTAGCTCTATTTTTAATTTATTAAGGAATCTCCACACTGTTTTCCAAAGTGGCTGCACCAGCTTGCATTTACTCTGTAAAGAACTAGAGAATCAACAACAAATTAAGCCAACCCCACATACAAGAAGGGAAATAATCAAGATTAGAGCAGACATCAATGATATAGAAACTAGAAGTCTCAAATTCTAACATAAAGAGTTTCAGAGAAATAAAAGGAAACTATCCTTCATTCTTGTATTGTCCAGCAGTATAGTGAATGAGTAGTGATTTGCCCTCGCTAAGCCCAGTCTTCTGATCATAAAAATGGAAATAATATATAATTAGATATTAATAAGAGGTAGTGTTCATTATTTACCCTGTAAATGACATGACTTCTGTCTCTCTTCCTTATGGTATCTCATTTCACCCATATGGAGGAAATACCATTGTTCTCATCTTACAGGGGAAACAGCTGAGGCACAGAGAGATTAAGTAACTTTTCCAAAGTTGCACAGATAAGAAGTGGCAGAGCCAGGATTCTGATGGTCTGTTTTGAAGGTTGTGCTTTTAGCCACTGACTATACAGCTCACAGGTAGGATATGTTGGGAAATGAATGACCACTTATAGACCATTGCGAAATTCTCAAAAAGAATATTTCCTGTAATATGAGGCATATTTACGTAATCTACAGGGTAGATGAAATGCTTTGGGGATAAAGAAAGTCTTAAATCTCTCACCTTCAGAGTTGTTAAAGAAAAGAATCGAAAAATATCTGTGTGACGGCTGACCTTCTTGATGGTGAACATTATGGAGCTATCCAATATAAGCGATTTATAACAGGAAATATATCTCTATATCCTGTCAGCCCTTCTTTGGGAGCCTTCCTGCCATCCTAGGTCCTGTTTCTGGCTCCATTTTTCATATCTACAGCTATACACCACACTCATGTCCTCTTTGTCCCCATCAAAGCTTCCAGAACCCAAGCACACCAGTGGGTGCTGATGGCCAAATCAACAAACATCTTCCAGTGTCTTAGATAATATTAAACCATTTCCAGTGCCTATGACACATGATGCCAAGACAATTTTCATCTTTTCAAGAAAGCCCTTTAAAAGTGATGTAAGTGGCAGCAGCATTTCAGGCTGAAGACCCCTTCTATACAGGCTGGACATGGTGACCCATTTACAGCTTTGTCCTAACTTTGTATATTGAATCAAATTGTCCCTTCCTGATCAGAAGTTCTAAGAGGGAGGATTTGGAAGTCCTGTGTCTGAGTTGTAAGCAAGTGTACCAGAGTTCTATGGTCAAATAAGTGGTGCCTTCTTAAAAGCATTCACCTTTGGGTGGTTGGACTCCTGCTAATAAGGGTATCATTGTTCAATATGGTTATAGAGTTTTTCTCCGGGAATTGTGTTCAGAGTTTTGAGCTCATTGAGTGGATTATTACCAGTGCAGTAATATTCATCCTGTTAGGGTGATCTTTGAAAACACTCAAGATGGGTAATGCTGCTTTGGGTCAAAAATGAGGAATAGGTGATAGGATAGGACTGGATTTCAAATATGGCTTGTGAACTTTCTCTGAAGGCAGTAAAGTAATAAATGAGTTGCTTCCCAAATGATAATTTTGAGAAGCAACTTTCATTTGGATGTGCGTATATTTAAGGTTTTTCTAATTCTTATTGTCTCATCTAGTATATTGCCAAGTATTCTCAGCTTAGGGAGGTTTAACCTCACCATTTATAGAAAACCGTACAAATGTGTGTTCTCATTCCCAATTAGCAAAGTCTCTGTTACTCATGACTGAAGCCATAGGAGGGGAGAGATTGGGAATTAAGCAATTCTTAAGTTTATCAATTAGAGTGTCCTAAATGAAAGCATTGGTCATGAAATTTTTTCTGTTTGTGATACTCACTTTGTACCAAACATACGAAGACTTGTTTTGGGATTTGATTATTGGAGTCCTTTCATCTTAGACATGGTGGAAATCTTGTCTTTCTGCTACAAGATGGTAGATTGAATTTGTCAATCAGTTGCTTGTAATTTACCCAGCAGAGTATCACCCTTCAGAGCTCTTCACCCAGACAGATATGCAATCAGGCAAAGAATATACTAGGGAGAGCCTGTGTGCCTCTTTATTGGGTACCTATCTCTGTTCTCCTAGATGTGAGGGATACCTGAGAGATGGACACAGCATAATCAAATTGTTGGAGACCTCTTTATCGTTCCATGCCTGGGGTGGTTTCAAGTAATCCCTTCTCCGGATACTGAGAGAACAAATGGTATTTGGTATTTCACAAAATGTCTTCAGTGACTCTGTCTTGCTAATGTTTGGGGCTTGGCAAATGGAAATACCTCCTGGCTATAATTTCCTTCCCTTTCTGATTTGAAGGTTATGGGAGAGGGCAAGAGAGGGACATAACGCATGCAGTTCTGATTTATCTTCAAGT